TAGTTCAGGATACCCTATTCAGCCATATCTCACACACTGCCTTTCTTTCATTCAAAAAGTTATCATACAGTCTCTTATTAAGATCCACATGTACCAACTACCTTGCTGAGATTATTACATTTAGAAGCCATTGTTTTTATCTTCTTTTTGGCTTTCAAGTTTTCGATTTCCAGACTAAAAAAAAGGAGTTAACAGCTTGTGGTATATGCTCGTTTGCTTGTTTTCACTCAAACTTGACCGTATTTCCTTCTTTTTTAACTTCTCTCTACAGTAAACCCTTTTGTCTCTCTTACTTTTCCTCTTCCCTTGTGGTGTATGATTGCACAGACCCTCACATATACATGCACAGAATCATTTATTAAAATATATCCTTTATCATAACAGGGCAGTCCCACTGTCTCTCTCACTATCTCTCGCTGTCTCTCTTCCTCCTCATCACCTGATTCGTCTCTCTTATATACTAAGAAAAAACAGTCTCCCTTCCTTCCAGCAACGATCCACATGACTGCTCACAATCCCCTTCAGCTGTTTCAGCTCTTGAATCAGCTGGGGCTCATTAGACCACCTCTTCTGCTTTATTCAATTCTTCTTTAGCTTTCACATTTCCCACCTCGGGGTGACTGCAAGCAGCATCCCAGGCGTATGTGCGCGTCTGCTAGTTCTCAGCGCACAGGATGAAGTCCTATCTTACCTTGGCCGAAACTCCCGACTCCACACTTCTCCACATTCCCTTTTTGGAACATCCTTGCTTTTACTCCTGTATTAAATGGCATAACATATTATCTACCTTATCTTGCATGACCCTTAAATCATCACAGCTACAAAACCAATAGAACAATATTTTATTGAATTTTATTTTAAAATAGAACTGCATACTTGTGATCTTCAGTGTTATTCTTATGATGTATTATGTATTATGGATTTTGTTCCATATAAGTTATGCTTGTAAGTTATGATGTAATATCCTTCGTAAAATCTAGGCTTTGAGTCTTGGTCTTCAGGCATTCAGGTCATTCTGGTTTTCAGTTGGTGTTTCTCGACAGTGGTTCGTTCTCAGCAACAGAAGCAGTAGAACGAAATCTGTTTCTACACAGGCCATTCCAGTTTGGTATGTTTTACTACAGACCAGCATTTTATATAGAAGCTTATATATTACATTACATTATTTTTGTGTGAACTTTTGGTAACACTTTAGAAATATTTCCCAGTCAAGGCCCAAAGAGTTCAGTAGTTCCTTTTTTTTTTAATGTGCATGTAAATAACAGTGTCGTGGTTTAACCTGGCAGGCAGCCAAATACCACGCAGCCGCTCACTCACTCCCCCCCGCCCAGTGGGACAGGGAGAGAATCGGAAGGGTAAGAGTGAGAAAAACTCGTGAGTTGAGATAAAGACAGTTTAATAAAACAGAAAAGGGAGAATAATAATGATAATGATAAAATATACAAAATAAGTGATGCACAATGCAATTGCTCACCACCCGCACTGACCGATAACCAGGTAGCGATCGGTACTTCCTGGATCACGCCTACCATTCATATACTGAGCATGATGTCACATGGTATGGAATACCCCATTAGCCAGCTGGGCTGGCTGTCCTGATTATGTTCCCTCCCATCTTGTGTACCTAGCTCAGTCAGTAGGCATGGGAGCTGTCCTTGGACTAGGAGGGTACTTAGCAACAACTGAAAACATCAGTGTGTTATCAACATTCTCCTCATACTAAATCCAAAACACAGCACTAGGAAGAAATTTAACCCTATCCCAGCCGAAACCAGGACAAACAGAAAATACTAATTTTACATTTTATTCTTGAATATTTTGTGAAACTTCTAAATTTCACAAATATCCCTATTTGCCATTTGTACCTCTCCACCAATTCTTCATTTCTTATTTTTGCTCTATGAAGACTTCATTCTAGTTTTTCCTCTGAAAGCTTTTATGTGCCAAACTTATCTTGCTATACTAGCAGATAAATAAGTTTTAATAGTAATATTCTTCTTTTGGTTAAGCAGCCTGACAGTACATATATAGAGGAAAGCTCATAATTTTCATTGCACTCGTTGTGATCATTAAGAAAAGTCCTACTTCAAACCCTGCAGTATTGCAGCCTAGAGTTGGCCAGCACTTGTTACAATGTCTGCATTCTGAGGAACAAGAGTGCTACTGTACAAATTCAATCTGCCTTGGATAAAATAAATTATTGTCTTTTGAGAGCTCTTAACTTCTAGAAAGAGCTCCTCTTGTCTGACCAAGAGTAGGACAGCACTCAATAATCTTGCGCAGCATTTTTTCACATTGAGTCTTTTGAAATTTTTATGTTTTTTCATTAAAACTTGATCATGTTTCCTTCCTTTTTAACTCCTTTCTATAGTAAACGCTTTTGTCTCCATTTCTTTTCCTCTTCCTGTTTTTGAATATTTGTAGCAGGATCATTTTTGCCTCATGGTGATTAAGAGTTTGAGGATGATGTATGCTGTGTAGACATGGTGCTTAGGGACACGGTTTAGTGGCGGACTTGGCAGTGTTAGGTTTACAGTTGGACTCGATGATCTTAAGGGTCTTTTCCAACCTAAATGATTCTATGATTCTGTGCAGATTAAAATAAGTCTGGTTAATATGCATAAATTGATACTGCCTTTGTTTATCTTGAGAGAATTGCTGTTTGCAAGCAGTGCCTTTTAATAAGTCTTTGCTGCAGTGGAATTTCATGATACTTTAAAAATGGCTGCAAGACAGCGAACAGCTAAATAATCTACCAGGATGAAAAAATAGGTGGTAACTACCAGCACCTGCTGTGAATATTGTGTCTAACTTCCTATTGTTTATACTACTATTTTATATATACTGAATACTGTGTTTGGACTGATTTTATATATTCAAAGTGAATTTTACATATTTTTAAAGATTCAAAATAAAAGCATGAAAGTTTTAAAAGGGAATAGTTACTTCTGTATCCTACTGTAGGATACTTCTGTATCCTACCTGATGCCTGGTTTTCTTCCTAACCATGGGGTGATCTACTGGAACTGTCTTTAAATGTTGTTATGCTAAAATCCCTGGAGCATTTTGGCTAGGCTTTGTTTCAGAATTTCTTTGTCCACACAAAGGGTGAAATTTCAGGTTACTATAGCATAAAGATTTGTGGAAAAAGCCTTAATATAGAAAGCTATGTAAAATGCCAAAATTCCGCTATTAGCAACTTGTCTGTAGATGTGTGGTTTTGTCGTCTTTGCTCAGCATGTTTATTTAATAATAACTTAACACTGCTGCTGAGTTGTGTGGTGATAACATGCAGGAGTTGTCCAAATGGGAATTTAAATGTACATGTTATATGTGTATGAATTTGCATTTAGTTACTATGTGCATAGTTGCTAATACAAACTGTGTCCTGTTTACAAAACTTCTATGAAAATATACAAGAAGTCCTTCTGAATAAGGAGGTGATGTAGTGTAACTGGCTAATGTCACAAAAACTTGCTAGGTCAGTGTTTCAGTTTCCTCAAATCAACAAGCCTTTAACAGACCTGTTTAATGCTCAATGTACCCCATGGCATTAGGGGAATTACATGGGGAAGTGAATACTATACAAGATATTTGAAATTATTGAGAGCTTTCGGTTATCAAAGTGGTTATTCCTAGAGACCCCTTAGAGAGGAGGGTGGGGGGGGAGATCCCAGGGTAGAAAAGTTGATTGTTTACTTGCATGAACGCTGGGGGAATTCGTCATCTTGAGAAAAGTTTCCTGAAAATAGTTTTGCTCACTGTGGTGCTTCACCACCTTCTCTTGCAAAATAGCTGTGCATCTGTCTCCTCTCTCAAACTTGGCTACTAAAAATTCCTTACTGAACTTGCTATTGTCTTACCTTGTTTTGTGGGAAATTTTGGTTCTTTGGGTGGCATTACGTGCCCTTACTGAGGTTCTTGTCTAAACAGTTCAGATACCACCAAAATAAAAACTGCACTGTAAAAATAAACCTGTTGACAATGTTATTTGTGAATTCACATAAATGTAGGTGTACCATGAATAGTTATTTAATTTGCTATGCAGTTTGGCATTTCAGATAATAACATGGCATTTGGCTTTGAACTCCTGAGTATTTCAGTGTCGAGATACGTTAACATTAGCTATTTGCTTCAGGCCACAGATAGTCAAACTTCTTGTAAAGCAGCATTTTACTATTGCCTAGTATTTAATGGATTGGAGGATTTATGTGTTAACAAGCAATATTACTTTTGTTTCTAGAGTTATTCTACAGCAGTATAAGGGTAGATTGGAGTTGCCTTGTACTATTGGAAAAAGGCCGATCTTGTCTTGGAGCCTGAAGAACCATGTACTTTCCTTATTTCTGTATGACTTTTGGCAGATGATTTCCAATATTGGTATATTAGCTTCCTCATTTCCAGAATTTTAGAACACTGGTCTGCTTCATGGGAATATGAGGCAAAACTAATTTGAACATGTAAGGTACTCAGTTAATACGTTTTCTGCCATTTAAAACCATAAATTACTAGGAACTGTAAGGTGGTAGAAAACAGAATAACTATGTGTTATATTTTACCTGGAAGCATATAATGGAATTTTTAGTTCATCCTGCAAAAGTATTGCGGGGGTGGGGGGGTCAGGGTGGGGTGTTCAAACTACAAAAAAAAATTGGGGCAGAAAGGACATCATGTACCCATAGTTGGTTTGCAAAATAGTTGGCCTGTTAATTACCATCAAGCTGGCAGAAAGAAACTTTAGAATGCAGGGGGTTTTTATTGCTTTTGCAGAAAGATTCTAATTTCAACTTTTTTCTGTTCCTAAACACGTCTCAATAGGTTTCTCAGTTTTCTTACCCTAGGAAAAATGAACAGTTTAAGATGCTTTATGAAAATGGCAATCTGTTGGTCACTTGAAGTAGAACATCAACTTGCTCAGGACTATTTGTCTTGGTTTTCTTTCTGTACCTTAAGGAATTGCATTTAATAGACTGAGATTTACTGCTCTTTTGTATTCATAGGACTGTGCTAAAGAATAATGACTTGAGATCAAGACAAGAATTAACTACTCACCTCACCAATCAGTGGCCTTCCCCAGGAGCTCTGGATGTCAATGCTGTTGCCTTGGACACTCTACTCTATAGAAAGCACAATCAACAATGGGATGAGTAAGTTGAATATTTATTTTGATTCACCTTTAGAGGAACAGGGAAACTCAAAATTATACATTTCCCTTAGCATACTCTGAAATGTGCCCTATTGGAATTACGTGTTACAATGTACAAGGATCAGCTGGCAGAAAAAAACAATTTCTCTCACTTGCCATAAAAATTTCCTTCCTTTGGATTAATTAGGAAAAAAAAAAGGAAAACATTGCTTTAGGAAAAAACAGTGTTTTAGGAAACATACAAACAAAAAATAGAGTGTTTAAGAGAAAAAAGATTAACTGCCTAGTTTTATTTAGAAAACTTTTTAAGGAGAATTGAAGATATCTAGTTAGATCTTTCAACGTGTTACTATTAAATATTACTTGCTTTGCAGGAAAAGTTTTCAAAGTCTGGACCAACTTTCAGCAGAAGTTAGTCTTTCTCAGTCCTCTCTGGATCCAGGTCACTCACAGGATGGGAAGCAGGACGGAATGAACTTGTTAAATGAAGGTACAGAGCCAGTCTAATGGCTTCATTTTATTTTGTTCTTCATAGCTCTGATCTTCAGTCCCTGTGAGATGAATTTTCAGTGTGAACAAAATATGCATTAAACAGCGTATTTTTCATTGTTATGCAAATTGTTTCAGTTTCCCTAAGGACTATACTTCAAATAAGTTTGGATTTAAGAAGATGCCCACCCCACCCCCCCAGTAATTGTAAGATTTCATGCTGTATTTAAAGCTAAGCTTCAAATATGTTCCATATCTTCCTTCTCCATCACAGAACCAGAGACAGCTGAGCTACAAGGAGGATCTTCTGTCATCTTTCTGCTATAACTAACTCAAATCTTCTGAGTTCTTTAAGTTTGCTTTTTTGTTTCTTAAAAGAAAGATTAATGGCACTGGATTTGCAACTACCACTGTCATTCTTACATCTTGCATTCAACATTTATCTGTGGAGATGCAGCCCGACAGTGTTTCTGTTAAAATAGAGAGAGGAAAATGATATGAACCATGCTAGTATATAAATGTAACATACACACACACCCCCCTTTTCAAAATCTATATGCTTATCAAAGTCTAGCTGCTCCATCTTGTGGGGAATTATGAAAAGCAGAAAAATGCTGGAAGACTTCCTAAATAGTAGTATTTTGGGTACAGAATGTAAATTGCTATTAAAAAATCCTTTTTATATCTCATCAAATGTTAACTTTAAATAGACTTGACAATACAGAGCTTAGTAGTTCATAACTGTAAAATTTCTTGGTTTTAAAATATCAAGGATGTAAAATTTAGAACTTTTTTTAAAACTGTAAACACTCTTAAAATCTAAATTATTTCAAGTTAGCTTAAAGAAAGTGAAATAGAATCAGCATGGCTATTATGAAGAGAGTTCTTGTGCAGATCTACTTTCAGCTGGGTTTTTTCAATATTAATTGTTTGAAGTTATGCTTTGTTTTATCTTCTGTAAATTAAAGTGTGGCAAAACCACTGATAAGAATAGCTTAGGTTTTGATTTCAAGACTCTGTCTTTAAAGGTAGCATAACATCTCTCTTCTAAATTACTGAGGTTCATCAGTACCTAAGCTTTAAAATAATTTTGTAAGACACAGCATGTGATCTTGCTGTTCAAATACCTCTGGTCTAACTCCCAGTATGGCAGTTTTAATTAAAAAGTTAGAAGTAGTAAACTTTCACATTACTGTTAGGCCCACTCATGTAGTCAGATTTTTAGCTTCAAACTTGTCGAAATCAAGGGCTGTGCCCAAACAGTGTTACACTGCTCTTTGTGTATTTTATGTCTTCAAATTGAATGCAGTCTTTAAAGGGTAGTTTTTATGGGAATACAGATTTTTCTAAAAGTGAAGACTTTTAAAAAGAGATAGTCTAGTTCATTCTTTAGGGAAAGCTATTCAGTCACTTGAAAAAAGCTCAGTAGAGGTGAGACCTAAAATCTACTGGAAACTGCTAATAAGAACCATAAATGATGCAAGAGAACTACACCTCACTTATTTTTTTTCATAATGAATTGTTAGGCAGGGCACGGTTTGGGTTGTTTGTTTTTTTTCTTACATCCTTCTCATGAGAATAAAACTCTTCTGTCGGGAAGAGGAGACACAATTTTAAGAAATGCTACTTTATAGACGTGATCTTTAAAAATTCTCGTAGACTGGCTTATCAATAAAATCTTGTGCCTGTGACCTTTTTAACTTGATTTTAATCTCTAGTTTAAGGTGATCTTTTCTATTCTGCAGGTGAGCCAGGAGGATGAAATAGGGAGATGCTGGTAGATCAAATTCTTTATAGCGTAATTTATTAGCGGAGTTGGCACAAAATAACTTGAACAGATATTCTGAGAAGGGAAGACACAAAATAAATAGAAAAATTGTCCAATGCAGTCTTACACCGATAGGTATGTTTCATGTTAACTGTCAAGTGTATTTGGAAGACGGGGCAGATACTTGCACTGCCACTTTTGCACTGTAGGGCTTTTTTTAGTGGTCAGAGCCTAATGTACTTCAAATTACCAAGGTTTAAAAAACAAAACGTGTTTATTTTTAAAGAAACGTATCCTGATTCCAGTTAATTCTACTCCTTTCTGAGGGATGCAAAATTAGATCTCTGGTACTGATGTTGTATTAGTAACGTCACTTCCATTTATATATAATGTACTCAACTAAAACCGGTGCTTGAATTAGTAACTTGAATTAGTAGTCAGTGGAGGCTCTGAATCTCCCTCTGTAGGAGACCGACTACAGCCTAGCCTGTAATGCACAGGTAGGGATCTGTTTATCACCCGGACAGGGAAGGTATGGCATAAATTACGTGTCTTCCTAATTGCATTTATGATGTATGCACGTGCTGAAGCAGTAATATGTAATTCATAGTAGTGTAGATGAAACAGTTTTTTCTATTCATTTTTTTGTGGTCAAGTCATCTTGTGCTCTAAAAATGATTAGCTTAATTCTTGTTTTTCTTAACAGGGAAGGAAGACACTCCATCGTTGCTTGGTCTTTGTGGCTCTCTTACTTCAGTAGCAAGCTACAAATCTCTCACAAGTCTGAAATCAAGTGAATATCTTGCAAGTCCCACAACAGAGATGACAAGTCCAGGCTTAACACCATCTTGAGATACGCACAAGAAGGAAGAGCTTTGTGTTGTATGCCTTTGGTTTATGTTCCATAAAATTACTTGCAATGAAGACTGCTAGTTCTAAGTTAAAAAATAAGCTGCTTTATTTTTTCTTTTCATGGTTACCTGCTTGAAAATTCACAAATTCTGTCAGTTTTCACTCAAACTTTTTTTCCCCCCAGAGGACTTTTCAGATTTTCTATTTTAGTCTTGAATTATTTAAAGTCCTTGGTCAGGTACAGGTCATATAATCTGATGCTTATGACTGATTTTTAAAATGAAATGGTTGGAAATCAGTTGGAATCAGTTGGAAATCAGTCCCCTACTTAACTGCCATGACCTTTGTTTCTGCTTGCAATGGCCTGGCCCTACTCTAGCCACGGTGCACTTCTCTGCAGTGCTTTAAATATCTATCAACTCTTGCAGAACAGACAGGGAATCCTTAATGCCAGTCTTTGTAGGCAAATATTTTACCTAAAAATCCAGCTTTTCATCTGTGTATGTTGCATAGGACCTCAAATAGCATATTTAACCTATCAACAGCTCTTCTCAAGTTGACTCAATGTTAGATTTTTGCATTCCTGTTAGTATCATGGCACTTAGGAGATGTCTGAATCGCACTGAAGAATCACACTGAAACACTATTACTAATTCTTGAAGTTGCATGTGAATAACAAATGTAAGTTGATCATCTAAATCAAGCATACTTAGCAATTTGTAAATGTTGAGGAAACTCACTGAATGCTTTTGAGTGACCTGAGTTACAGATAATCAAACATTGTATGAGAAATTTCTTTGTTTATTGGCCTTGCTGGAAAGGTAGGGACTAAGGATGGTGGGGTTAGCACCTTGGGAAGCTCGCATTGTGTGTTTACTGGCAAGATCCCAAGGAAAGTGAAAAAGGGGAAACAAAGACAATGTAAGACAGTATTCCCATGTTTTTTCTCATTCCTGTACTAGTGCAATAGGTATTTTTCTTGATTAGGTAATACAGCAGAACTTATTTAAGTCAGTTTTCTCAGATTACTTGCCATTGATTTAAATTACTGATAGGAAAAGAAAAAAAAAAGGGAGACTTTTTTTTTAAATTAAACTAACTTTCCAGATTACCCTACAGTTTCAAAGTTTGCAAATTAGTTTTTGAATTGCAAACTATATTCTTAATTCTTTGTAAGATACAATTTTGCTAATCAAGGTAATGCTTATCAGTATGATTAGTAACTTTTTAAACAAAACTTAAATGCATGTAAGTACCTTGTATTTATAAGTGCTAGGGAAAATGCTTTTTTGTGCCAAAGAAGTTTCATAAATTGTTTACACGAGTAGCTGCAATACAAGACAGATTTTTAATTATTGCTTACTGTTAGGTGTTTACAGTATGTCACTACACTCTGTATGGTTTTAGTTGATTCTTCTCTTGTAATGGTACCTTGGCACTACTACTATAATCTGGTCATTTTAGGGTGGGCTTGAAAGAAAGAGGATTCATTCTTACCTTTACTGAAAACTGCAGGAAATGTTTAGCCTTTGTAAGCATGAGGCTACGCATCTCTGGAACTCAATGCACTGTTGGATTTAGCTAGGGGAGGTTCAAGATACCTCTCCTCAACTCTAGTCCTGGAGGTTACTGCATCCATGGCAGGGTAAACAACTACTGAGACCATTTTGATGCAGATTTTTAAAGCAGCTTAGCAAAATCCACCAGACCTTGTCTTTCAAGCCCTCATGTACCCACCCAGTTAATTTCTCTGTAATAAACTCTGACCATTAAATCCCTTCATAGCCTGTCAGAATGTCCATTACTTCATGTAACTGGTTTTTTTTGTTATCACATTAAGCACCTGTTCTTTCATGGCTGTTGAGTAACATAATTAAATACTAATTTGTAAACTAGAGATGCATTTTTACTACAAATACAGCGAGGGAATCCAGATTCCACAAGTTAACATTCTACATCAAGGTACAGTGATTTAATCAGTCTTGTTTGCTGTTACACACTTCTACATCCCACTACATCAGTATTTTGGAGGGAGCTATAATCATGATCTTCAGTCATGTTTGCTGATGGCTCTTTTCTTGGAGCTACTGGTGTGAAATTCAGTCATTTAACTGAAGTCTTTTATGTAGTCTGACACCACTGTGAGTTTCTGGGTGTCATTTTGTGCATGGGAAATCAGTTATGTGTGTCTTTCTCAGTTCTAAACATTAATCATTTTTCAAAAAAATTGAAAAAATGCCAAAACTGTATGTTTTGTTGCCTTGACGTTCCATAACTGTTGCATGTAAATTAAACATTTTGTATCATCGTTAATTACTAGTTTTTGTCTCTGTTTTAATCATACAGGATAAAATAAGACCATTCGGCAAATTACAGTATTACTGAGCTCATAGCAAATTATTTTCTTGCAAAACAGGGAGACTTTGGTTTTGTTGCTGTATTTCATTCAATGTGGTCCAAAATCTGCTGTTACTACTTTCTTTCTCTTAGGCTTTATTTTGAGGTTGTAATGTAAAATTACTTTGAAAATCACAATGGGGGAACAGTGTCAAATATCTCCTATGGCAGTGCCTCTTGCCTGCACCGTATGCTGTAACTTTGTACCTAATGTCTTTACAACTAGAGCATTTTTCAGTGTGTGATGGATTTTCACCAAGGCCAAACACATGCTGGGATACTTTCTTCATAGTAGAATAGGACTGAAGTCTGTTTCTTGGGTAAAGCACACCCAAAAGTTGGTGTCTTAATGATCTGACTACCGAGTTGCTTTTGTACCAGCACCCCCCCTCATTAAAATACACAAAAAATAAAATTCAACCTCTTTATTTGAAAATATCAAAGAAGGAATATAGTGAGGGTAGTTAAAAAATAATTAAAAAAAAAAAATCATACAGAGGAAGCTCTGATTCAGTAAGCCAAGTGCCTATGGGCAAGGGAGATGCTGCAAGTGTTCATTCCACGTGCGCACAGCACACGGTAGCTGGCGTGACAATGGCTGCGTCTATAGTAGTAAACTAAATGGTGTGCTCTTGCCTTCAGGTAGATGCATGTCTGAGTCAAACTGGCATGGAACCAGCTCTGTTTATGCCAGCAAACTTGGCCTTCAAAACCAGGTGACGCCGTACAAACTGTGTAGGGGGAATGCTCTGTGGCAGGCAGCCTGGCCCTGCCTTGGAGCTTGGTGACAGTGACAGCTTGCACCTCCCAAACACATGCGAGGGGGCGTTCCTCCAGAACACCTGTACAGGCAGTTGTCTTCAGTGCCTGGGTGTGCTTTAATTTCTTAGAGTATTACCTTAAACTAAAAAGCCACTGCAGCAGCTATCCATGCATTCGCCATGCTCTCTGGGTTTCTAATGAGCACAATGTGCTCTCTCCAGTTTGACTAAAGCATTTTCATTTTAAATAAACCTGAGAAGAAGCCGAAGACTATTTTATAATACGCATTTACACAAAATATAGAGCTGAAAATAACAAACATGCACAGAATTAAACATATATTAAGCAAGAATAAATAAGCGTTTATTGAATTCATTCTATATCAACCTCCTTATGGAGGAATAATCATATCATACCAGTGGAAGCCCAAAATATTTTCTAAACATCATTTTAAATCCAACAACAATCTTTAGTCAGACTGAAAATTAACACAGTGGCAGTGGTTATTCTTCATTGCTCTGCCCAGCCTCAATTTTTTTCCCCTTTTAACCATCACTGAAGAACAGCCAGAGCACCTCTTTGTTTTTTTTTTTTTTCCCCTCTTCTCCTTTCTTTCCTTTTTTCTCTTTAGCTGCAAGAGAAGTCACAAAATCTTCAATGATAGTTTGAGGATCATGTGTATTTTCTTAGTCTTAAGAAAAAAGTGAATTTATCCTTTGTGAAACAGTTAAAAATGAAGTTGTATTTAATTACCAAATGTAATGGCAGAAATTCACTGGAAATTCTAGAAAATGCCTTGACAGATTCAAATTTGGCACAACATACTTCATATATTTTGACTTCACACAATCGGATGAAGGAGAATTAAGGACATTGGCTCATTTTTTCATTTAAATGAGAAAAGAAAGACTTTCCGTATTCATACGTGCTGATCATTATGGCACAAGCAGGAGCAACTTTAAACAGCCGTGGAACGATACCTGCCCAGAAGAGAAAGGAAAGTATTCACTATCATTTTTTTTCAGACTGAAGTGCCATAGTATCATTTAGCGGTCACAATATATTGATACCATAGTATATCAGTGTAGAACTGGGATTGTACCTGTTCACATTCCTCTAAATACTGAAATTACTGTCTGTAGGTATTACCATTGTAACAACCTTATGCGCTGACCTGTGCCACCCTGTGTGGCCTGCCTGCCCCAAGGCCGTTGTGTCTCTGCCCTTTCTGTCTCCCCACGGAGGGGGAGCACCTTGAGCTGCAGGGCTACTTTGCTCCAGCACAGAAGAGGTGGCCCTGGGGGCAGTCTGTGTGCATTGACACTTAGGGGAGGGCACACTTACTCCTCGTGTGGGACAAGCAGAAGCTTGTGACCTCTCAGGTGGGACAACAAGAGGTTCAGGAAGCCCTGAATCCTGAAATGGATAAAGTTAGAGAGGAAACAGCTCAAGTACCATGCTGGGCTGTACCCTCTGCCATTGGTATGTGTCTCAGCCCTTCAAGACAACTAAGTAAAAAGCGTGATCCCGCCATTATCTCCTAAGACCTACAGCACTAAATTTACTAAAATGGAAGGATCCTGGTCACATGTAAAAACGATAGAATTTAGGCATTAAATGTCTCCCATTACAATCAACTATGATCTTGTCAGTGGAGTTAGAAGGCGATTCAGCTTACCTAGAGGTAGGAAAATAAGGCTGAATCCACTTGTCTACATACAGCCCAAACTACTTCCACTTGAAATGCAAAGATGTCTGCATACAGCTAGTGGAGATGGCGCATGACCTATGGAAAACTTGTGTCCCTTTGGAACAGTAGCAGGAAGCCAGGCAGAATATCCCCAAGTCATCTCACCTACTTGTAGGCGACTGAACTGAGATAGTGGCTGATCAAGAGAATGTCTCTACGCTCGGTTACTCACATGTCAAGACCTAAATGTAGGTATCCTAATCTATGAACTACATTCCACACAAAATATCTGATAATATTTATACTTTATAGTGTCATGCATTCTGCTGGCATCAGTGCTCTGAAACATGCAAAGCCTGTCACCCATCATGCCATCACTGTACAGCAAGTAAAGCAATTTAATCTCTTTCAGCGAATACAAACAAGTCTTGCAAGTCTTAACCAACGG